AGCTGAGGAACACAAATGAAGCAAAATCCTTCCCCCAAATGTCCGTGGGGGTACAGGGCCAGAGCTGGGCTGGGAGGAAGAGCAGGATGGGCAGAGTGAAGTGATGTTATCCCAGCCAAGCTGAGCTTGCAGAGTCATCCAGCAGAGCTGAATTCCACAAAAAGGAGCTGAGAAACCTCTCCGTGCCCTGCTGCTCTCGCAGTGGGGTGGCAGGGGCTCAGGAGCTGCAGGCACGCCCAGAGCAGCTCCTTTATTGATAAAAAACGGGCTGTAAAGAACATTCCCACCGCGCAGATCTGCCGGGGAGGATTTCCCCACCCCGCACATGGTGATGAGGTAAATAATTCCTGCAGGGGAGAACAATGAGGGGTTGGTGGCTTTGTCCCTCCAGGTCCCTGGTGGATGCTGAGCACGCAGAGCAGCTCTGCAGCTCCAAGGGCATCCAAGAGACAATTGCCCCCTGGGCTCTGCTCCTTCCCTGGGCTGCTCCTCACCGGGGAGCTGAAGCAACATCTCTGTGTGGTTTTCCTGCTCTATTTCCTTGAAGTCCTCTGTTCAGGACTGAAAAGCTGAGGGTTAGAAATATTGGTCTTGAAAATCAGGATTCTTGATTTATTTATCTATCCATTTATTTATTTATTTATTCATTCATTTTTGTTTTGTTCTTTTGGGGTTTTTTTTCCCTCTTCTTTTTGTTTCTAAACCTTCCAGCCTGTCATTATCAAAGTGGTAATAAACTGCACTGCAGTCACATCAATTAAGCCTTCATTTGAGCTCAAAAGTGAAGGCATGCTCAGGCAAAGGCATTCCCTTTCCTTCTAAAGCCTGTCATCTAAATAAGCAGGGCTGGCATAATTTGATCTCCTTATTTCTATATTTTTTTCCTAAGGAAACTCCCCTGACAGGTGCTTGGATATCAGTTCTTGATGGCATCGTTGCACCTCAGCACAGTTCTGATTCCTTTTCAAAACCAAAACTGAGATGCCACGATGCCATCAAGAACTGGGTGCATTTTACACAAAGATTTTTGGATACTGAACCTGAAGATGTGAGAACATCTCGGTCAGAGGAGGTGACACAAAGTTAAGCAGCTCTCTGAATTCCAGGCTGGATTTTCCTGGCAGCTACAGCGTAGGGAAGGACAACTGGGAATATCAAATCCAGTAAAATCTGCACTTATTTTGTGGCCTGGAGAGCCGCAGCAGCAAGGGCTGAGAGGGGGAGACTGGCTGGAGTCCAAACCCTGGTCAGAGGGGAGCTGACCCAGCAGGGATTGCCCTCCAGGGGACAGGGAAGCACTTCTGAGGGACTGGAAACCCAGATGGGTTTCAGGATTAGCGAGTGGGTGATTGGGAATCCCACCCTGCAGGGTGAGAAAACACGGAGTGCTCTTCATTTAGCTGCGTGCTGTCATTTTATTCCTGAGAGTTCCCACACCCCTGAAGAGGAAATCTGGAATTTCAGAGCTCTGGGTGAAGCAGAAACATTACAGCTTCATCTCCCATGTGCAGAGTGGCCTGGCTCTGACTCTCCCAGGAATGCTGTCCCGGGAATGCTGTCCCAGCACAAGGAGGAGCACTGGGAGCAGGGATGGGATCTGCTCTGCCTCCCTCACACCCAGCTGATCCTGGAGAGGCTCTGCTTGCCACACACCTGGCTCCAGGTGTTTGTCTCCCATCACCCCAAACCTGAGGCAAAAATTCCTCCAAGAGAGAGGCTGGAGCAGGGAGGAGCAGAACTCTGTGTTTTCAAAACAGCTCAAAAAAATCTTGGACGGAGATCACACACCCCATTTGTGTCTCCCTCTCCAGAAAGGAAGGCTTTAATCTGCATTAATTGAAACATAAATTGGATAAATAGCCTCCTTATTTGCATCACTGCCTTTCCTGACTGTTTCTTCCTTGCAGGCCTCGTGATGGCCGTGCAGAGCCGGGGCAGAGGGACACTGTGATCCCACAGCTCTGCTGAGGCTCGTGCCACTGAAACTCGGATCCATGGAACCATCCTGCCGAGCTGCTCAGGCCTCTTGGCCATTTTTGGCCCAGGTTTGGTGTCTGCAGCGTGGTGACAGTGCAGAGCTGGGTGCAGGGACAACGGGGAGAAAGCAGAACCATCCCAATTCCCAGGATGTGGGTCAGGAATGGGGAATGTGACAGGGCAGAAAGCAGGGCACTGACACCCCTCATCCTTTTTGGATTGGCCTGGGTGCACATGACCTGTGGCTCGTGCTGCATCTCCTCTCCTCCCTGAGCTCTGGCATTCCTATTTCATCACAAGGATGCAGTTTTTCTCTGGAATTCCAGGCACAATTCCAATTCCAGCACAGAGGACACTGCCTTACCAGGGAGAGGGTGGGAGCTGTCCAAGGGTTCCTGGGCAGGGCTGGGCTCAGCTCCTGGATGAATTCCCTGTTTTGGGATCAATTTTGGTGAGTCCCAGCTGGGGTCTCTCCTTCTGAGCCCTTGTGGGTCCCACTGGAGGCTGAGAGCTGCAGCTGGGTGAACTTGGATTTTCCACACTTGAACCATCACTAAAAATTCAGCCTGAAGCCTCTGGTGCCTCTTTCTCTTCAGTGTGGTCAGTGGTTATTGTCTTCCCCACAGGCACAATCAAGAGATAATTCCACACAATGAGGCTATTTCTTACACATACATCAAAATAAATTGGGCATTCAGATAAAGACGTGTCAATAAAATCACAGAACCAAAAGAAAAGCAATCACAGAACTAAAAAAAAAAAGTGTTGCAGGAGGTGAAGTCTGGGTAAATAGAAATCAAAGGCTGCCCACAGCAAGGTACAGTCAGTGTTTGAGGTGTCAGCCCGAGATCCTGGAGATTAGATAGAGTTGCTTGGAATCCTGTGTCACCTTAAACAAACAATGGGATTGTTCTTTCCCCATTTATAGGATGCAGATAACAATTCCTCGCAAGGGTGTAGTAAGGTAAGCACAGGGAATGCTGCACAGTTCCTGGAATATGGGAGTGGGAAAACGCCCTTGGATTGAGGTTGTTCCATGAAGAGGTTGGGTTTTGAATTTAAAGTATTTTTCATCTGGTTTTGGGAGCCCCAGCTGCATCACAGAGGGTTGGAATATCCAAATCTGGGGGTTTCTGTGTGTTAAAGCCACTAAAAAAGCAGCTTCCACACTATTGTCTCCCTTAATCCAGCAACATGATGGTAATTTGTATGCAATTCTATTAGGGAAATCAGATTACAAATCTTTTGTGGAGAGCTATTTATACCACTTGATATTACTTTAATTACATTCAGATCTCACAACGTTTAGCTCGAGCACCAAATTTTCAAATTAGAGCAACTTCAAGCAGCATTTTCAGGAATATCTAGAGCCCCTTGGAGCCCAAATTCACAGCTAAGTTATTTTTATCCACCAGGGTATTTTCAGAACCGTTTTGCTCCGTGGATGTTGTGTCCATCACAGGTGTCCTGTGCCCACCTGGGCCGTGCTGCCACTGCTGCTGGGAGGGAAAGGATTTGCTGGGCTGGCTCAGGGGTGAAGGAAATAGTGGAGCCCTTGTTCAGCAGCAACCTCACACCTGAGCTGTGGCTGCCAGGGCTGCCCCCGCTGGGATTACAAAGGGAGTTTTATCTGGGACACTGGGAGAGGAATATTTTGTAGGGTGTTAATACACCCCCAGGCTTGACTGGTCAATTCTCAGCCCTTATTTCTATGTTGTCACTCCCTTGTGACCTTCTGAAATGATTGTTGCTTACTTAGACTTGTATAAAATATAATAATCACGCTTTAAAAGTGTATTAATTAATTATAAAGTATTCCTGGTACTCAAAAATTGTGGGTGCTGACAGCACATTAAACTGAATATACTTTCATACACTTCAATAGGAAAAAAAAAAAAAAAAAAAGCTGTAGAAATCCCGTTTTTAAACTCAAAATTATAGCCTAAATTTCTTACATTTTAAATTTGGCAGAGCTATCAGAGTTCACAGATTCCCACCTCTGGGGCTGGAATTGCTGCTGTAATGATCAGTGCTGAATGTGGGAGCCCAAAAATTCAGCTGAGCTGCTTGGCAAGGCTGTGGTAGAAAACTGTGACCAAAGAAGGTGAATCTTTCATCAAGGTAACAATAAAATACCAATTGAATCAGAGTAAATAACGTGGATAAATGGATAATTTATGTGGATAATTGTCCTGCTCACCTGGACTGCTCAGCTGGTTAAAATCTCCCTGCTGCCTCTGTAGCCTGTATCTTATTCCAGCAGTGCCCTCTGCTGAGAGCATGGAATGTGTGTCCCCAGAGCTTTTTTCCTCCCTTCAGCTCTCAGGTATTTTCAATCTAAGTTCTCAAAAACCATTTGCATTTAAAAAGATGGAGAAAGAAAAGCTTCACTGGTGTTGGTACTGATTTATTAATGAGCAAGCCACATGAAATAAACAAAATATCCTGTAAGAAAGGCATGGTAGTGGGGCTGGCTGGGTTTTAGCTGTGTTATCATGGAAGAATTAAGTAGGAAAAGGCATTTTCTGGGCTATTGGGTCCAGGCTGGAGACACAGCCCTGATGTTTATTTCAGCTCCCACAGCCCTCCAAACCCACAAAACTCCGCTCCCCCTTTCCTGCCTCTCTAGTCCTTTATGATCTACTTAATTTGTGAGTTAAATTGATTCACTTCACTCCATTTTGAGAACATCCCTGAAGAGTTTTAAGCTGCAGGCGTCACCACCCATCTGCCCAAGCCCTGGGCAGGTTTTGCTCTTGTCAAAGGTTGCTTCCAGCAGCTCATCCGTGTGGGAAATGTGTTCTGTAGTTTGGGCTATCCTAGCAACTCCCAGGGATCAGCACAGCCCCCAGCTGGCAACCCAAATATTTAAAAACACGCCTGGTTAAAGTTTAACCCCCGTGACGATGATGATGTGGCAGCAGGAGCTGCGTGTCAGGAGAGGATCCGCGCCCGGGGATCGAGGTGGGAGCTCCTGAGGAGAATGGGATGAGCAGAGCCGGCCCAAAGGAGCAGCTCCCACCATGAATGGGTTCCCAAACTGCTCTGCCAACCACACCAAGATCTGGAGTCACTACTTGGTGCTGGCCCTGGGTATCCCCCAGCTGACCATCAACGTCGTCTCCATCATCTTCAACTGCACCGTCATCTTCACCCGCCTGGCCACCAGGGACCTGCACAAGCCCATCTCCATCCTCTTCTGCAACCTGGCTATATCTGACCTCTTCACCAGCTTCTCTGGCTTCTGGATTTCCATGCTGTTCATCACCAACCCCGACATCACCATCTTTGGCTCCCAGGAAATGCTGGCTCCCTACTCCCTGTACACCACGTCCATCCTGTCCACCATCTACAACCTCGTGAGCATCGGCATCGAGCGCTACCTGGCTGTGGCCGAGAGCATGAGGACGAGGTTCAGGGTGGCCAGGAACCACTCCATCGCCGTGGTCTTCATCAACTGGGTCCTGGCTTTCTTCCTGGGCTGCCTGCCCCTGATGGGCTGGAACTGCCTGCACGGGGAGAGCAACGTCTCGGTGCTCTACAGCCCCTTCTGCGTCAACTACCTCGTCTTCATCGCCATGCCCAACGTGGCCGTGGCCTTCCTCGTGCCCCTCTTCACCTACCTGAGGATCATCATCATCCTGAGGAAGAGGAAGCTGAGGATGCAGGCGTGTGGCCAAGCCACGGACACCTACAAGTCGGCAGAGACGCAAGTGGCCAGGACCAGCATCTCCATCTGGCTGCTGGCCCTGGTGTCCTACGCGCCGTTCCTGGCCGGCGTCATCTTCGACGCGGCCAACCAGCGCTGCCACAGCGAGCTGTACCCCGGGGTGTACATCTTCAGGAACTGCACGGCCATGCTGATCACCATCACCTGCCTGGGCAACCCCGTGCTCTACACGCTGAAGCTCAGGGCGCTGGGGGCCCGGCTGAAGGCGCTGCGCGGCCTCTGGGCCTCCCGCGTGCGGGCCTGCGCCATCGGCCACGTCTGAGCGGGCCCGCCCGCCGTGCCGGGGTGACCTTGTGGTGCTTGTGTCCCCAGTTGTGTGCTCCGTTCACGCTGGGTGTTCTGTTCTGGGCCTTCAAGGCCGGCTCTGGCAGCGAAGGTGGGGAGAAGGAGAAGCACGGAGTTTGTTATCAGGGACTCCTCTGAAAGCAGCACCGCACGTTCTGCGCTGGGCTGGGCCGTGAGGGCACCGACGGAGCAGAGCAGAGCGCTCCTTTGCTTTTGAGTTAGTTTAGCTAGCTGAGGCAGAGTTTTCCCTGGACTGTTTTTTTTTTCCTTTCCCTTTTCTGGGAACTGTTGGAAGCTGCTCTGGACTGGGAGCTGGGGAGCACCGAGAGCTTGCACCTTGTGGCCACAGGGCCTGCTCTGGGCAGCAGCCATCCCCAGTGCTGAGGGACTGATAACAGAGACCCCCACACGAGAGACTTTCTGAATTTGTATGTCTAAAGAGCGGCCACTGAGTTTTGTCATCTGGTATTGTTCATTTTGTGTGTGCTGGGAGGTGCTTGGCCTGTTAAATAAACAGGGTTTTTCCACTTCTCTCTGAGGAAACCCTCCCCGAGCCGGCTGTGGGGAGGGACCGTGTGGGTTTGCTTTCTGGGGGGGCCCTTTTGGAGGCTTTCCCCTGAATTTCCCCTGAATTTCCCCCAAAGCAGGACACTGAGGGCCCAAACCCCACAGCAGGCTGCCAAAACCCCGTGGGGATGAGGCCCTGCAGGGCCTGGTGGCATCTCAGAGCTCCTTCCCAGCCTCGGCAGCGCCGTGGGTCCCTCATGGGGAACAAATGGGGCATGGAGCCCTCAGCAGTGTCCTGGGTCACTCACGGGGAAAAAATGGGACATGGAGCCCCCAGAAGTGTCCTGGGTCCCTCATGAGGAACAAATGGGACATGGAGTCCCCAGCAGTGTCCCCAGGTCCTTCATGAGGAACAAATGGGACATGGAGCCCCCAGAAGTGTCCTGGGTCCCTCATGGGGAACAAATCGGGGATGGACCCTCCCAGCAGTGTCCCCAGGTGGGACATGGAGCCCCCAGCAGTGTCCTGGGTCCTTAGTGAGGAACAAATCGGGGATAGAACCCCCCAGCAGTGTCCTGGGTCCCTCATGGGGAACAAATGGGGCATGGAGCCCCCAGCAGTGTCCCCAGGTGGGGCATGGAGCCCCCAGCAGTGTCCCCAGGTCCTTCATGAGGAACAAATGGGGCATGGACCCTCCCAGCAGTGTCCCCAGGTCCCTGCTGGGGAGCAGAAGCTCCATTCCAGGTGGGGGAAGGACTCTCCTAGCAATGTCCCTGCTTCTTGGAATTCCAGGCTCTCTCTTGCTCCAAGGTCAGGGCAAATAAAACTCAGGAGGCTTCTTTACAAGCCTGGACTGGATAGATTTTGTGGCACCAGCTCATGCTTCTGTGGTTTTTCATCAGCGCACAGCAATAAAATTCCATGGAAATCCAGAGGGTGATGAAGTTCTCACACTCATCACACACAATCCCACCCACCTGGAGCTTTCAGGGACTTCTTTCCAGTTCCTTTGCTTTCTTTCTATCTATCTATATTTCTCTCTATATATATTTCTCTATTTTATTTATTTTTTATATATTTTTTCTATTTCTATATTTTATATATGCCCGTATCTATACCTCTACTCCTATCTCGATATACACACCTCTCACTCCACTCCTCCTTCTTCCCCCGCACACAGCGCTCTCTCTGTATATATCTACGTCCATATATCTCTCTACATTTATTTATTTATAGAAATATCTCTGAAAATCTCCACAAAACACCCTGGCTACGCCTGCGCTCGGCGGTGGATTAAACACGCCTGGCTGGCGGCGCTCGATTGGCAGCCCTGGCCGGTAGAGCGGAAGCGGAAGCGGCGGCCATGCGGGCACCGGGACCGTGCGCGGAGTGCGCGGCGGGGGCCGCGGCCCGGTACCGCTGTCCGCGCTGTGGAACCGCTTAGTGAGCGAGGGAAGGGCTGGGGGGAGCGGGCCGGCACCGCTTAGTGAGGGGGTACCGGGCTCGTTTCTCACGCCGTTCTCCCCGCAGCTGCTCCGTGCCGTGCTGCCGGACCCACCGCGGTGAGTGCGGGCCGGGAGGGACCGGGGCGGACCGGGGCTGACCGGGGCTAACGCGGCTCTGCCCGCAGAGCGCTGCGCGCCCGGTGCCCCGCGGGAGAAGGAGAAGGAGGCGGCCGGGCAGGGATCACCCCCGGCCCCCGCAGCCAGCCCCGGGGCCCCGGAGGACATCCTGAGCGAGGAGGAGGAGCAGGACCGCGTCCCGCCGCAGAAACTGCAGCTCCTGGGTAATAAATCCACGAATCCTGCACGGAGGTGGGGAATGGATGGGGTGGGATCGGGTCTGGGGAATGTGAAATGGATGGGATGGGATTGGGTCTGGGAAATAAGAAATGAATGCTGGAGGTGTTCTGTCGGAAAGTTATGCCGTGTTAATCTCCTTTAAGTTATGCTGTGTTAATCTCCTCTGAGCAGTGTGGTAAATACAGTTTTTAGGCTATAGCACAATATTAAAATAGAAACCACGCAATGTAAAATACTTTTTGTAACCGGCCTAAAGAATGGCAAAGATAATCAAGAAGTTCTTTGAGTTGTCCTCTCTGGATGGAGCAAAAACACCGAGATGGCAAAAGAAGAATTCTTGCTTCCTTATCAGGAAGGCCCAGACTTTGAGGAACCCAGAAAATTGATTTACAAGATGGGGGGGGGAAGCTGAAATTGAGCAGAAACACCCTGGTGTGAAAGGAATGTTTGAGATCTGTGAATATGCAACAAGCTATTGCTTTAAGGGTTAATCCTTTGTTAGCACGGGCTGCTGCGGGGCAGGGTGGGACATCTGTAATTCTTTGGTTTTTATTGTCTTTTATTGTGCTAACTTTGATTGTCCAGATTCTTGTTGTCCAGATTCTTGTTGTCCAAATTCTTACTGTCCTAATTTTTATTCTCCTAATTTTCATTACTCTTCCCATTACTCTTAAACCTCTGAAGTGTTAACCCAGGTTTCCCAGCTCGCTGCTCTTTCCCCGAGAGCTCCGGCAGTTCCCGTGTCCCTGGGCGGCTTTGCTGGCCCAGGCACGGCTGTAACTTTGTTTTTTTCTCCCTCCCTGCTCCAGGGGAATCGGCGGAGCTGCGGGATCTGCTGCGGAACCCGCACCTGCGGCAGCTGCTGCTGGCCCTGGAGCAGGCTCGGGACAAAAGCTCCCTCCTGCGGCGGCTGATGCAGGAGCCGCTGTTCGTGGAGTTTGCCGACTGCTGCCTGGGCATTGTGGAGCCTCCCGAGGAGAAGGAGAACGTCCTCCCCGAGTGAGCTGCTGGGGCAGTGGGGCTTGGCTAATTTGGCCTTGAGATTTTTGTTCTGTGAGCTTTGCCAGAGCTGCTCTTGGCCACTGTGCCCGTGGGTGTCAGTGCTCTGAGCTGACAGGGGCAGGGCTGTGCTGGGACTCGTTTTTACATCCTTACCTGCACGAAAATTTGGGATTCAAGTGGGGGGTTGAACTAAACACTCTGTGGATTTCTTTCTGTTGGCACAGAAATGCTGGCAGCCACAGGAAATGTTGCTTCACAGTGACAATATTAAATATATTTGCATTTATTTTAATCCGCGAGGACTCTGACATGTTTTTGTTCACTAAAGGTTGTTGGGAATGGTCAGACATTGACAAGGCATCGAGCACTTTCCTTTAAATGACACAGAGCAGCTGAACATTTTCAAGATCCACGAGCAACCAAGGGAGGGTTCAGAGCACTCCTGGTGAGCCCCTGGGCAGGGTGGTGCTGTCTGGGGAGCTCTGCACACACCTGGCAGCTGTGGGAGCTCACAGATTTTGGTTCTGTAGATAAAAGCAAGAGCCCAGCCTTGCTTTTCCCTGAGACATCTGCCCCTAGTGCTGCAGCTGGCTGCTCCTCTCCCCCTGGGGACACTCGTGGTCAGTCAGGAGGGTTGCAGCAATCAGGAATATTTATTGGCATTATATGCAGTGCCAGCAGCATTCAGTTCAAGTATTCATTGCTTCAAGCACCTGATCTGTTGGAATTGATTTGTTCCCATAGTGTTGATATTTCCTGTAAGGTGGGGGGGGAGCAGGAGCTGCCCCCACCCCCAGTAAATGGAATTTAATGTTATTATAATGTGCATGATAAGGGGTATCCCATTCCCTCACGTTGGACGTACAAGGCAGCGCTGTGGAAGCTCTGAGGTAGCAGCAGAAGTGGACATTGAGTGATTTGGAAGCAGCAGCTTGCAGAGAGCCCTCCTGGAGGCCAGGGCCAGAGCTATGTGGGCAGCAGTTCCTGTCTGTCCAGCAGGATCTGGTTGAATCCCGTGATGGAAAACGCCTCCGAGTGGGGGCTGACGTTGGCAAAGTGCAGGGGGGACCTCCTGCAGTGGAACTTGACAGGGCCCTGCAGGGACGAGAAGGGGAGAGTTCAGCCAGAGGTGCAGCTGATTTCGTTACTCACATTTAGCTCTGGAGTGTGTGAACCACGGGGGGATGAGAACAAAGGAACCTCCAGAGGAGTCCCCACAACTGGGCTGAAGAGAAATGGTCACTGGAGAAAATGGCAGCACTGTGAACTGGACTGAGGTCAGCTCAGGCTCTGGAGGCTGCAGTGCTGAGCTCTGGACCTGGCACAGTTTGCAGCAGCTGTGGCAGCTCCTGCACACAGAATTGGAGGCAAACACAAAAATGTTTCCCCCTCCAGACCCCAGGATGAATGGAAGTGCAGTTTCTGAGGGAAGGCAGTGCCAGCCAGTGGGAAATGCTATCCCAGCCTGTTCCCAGGCTGCAGCCAGGAGGGAGGGGTGGGTACCTGTGGGAGGGCTCTGATGGAGGGGATGCCACAGCCCAGGTGTCCCCTGGGGCTCTCCTGCAGCCCCCTGAGGCAGCCCAGCAGCGCCAGCGCCCGCCGTGGGCCCGTGGCACTGCCAGGGGCAGCAGCCAGCACCAGCCCCAGGGGCCAGAGCTGCACTTGT